TCGAGTTGAATCGGGGCCAATCGGCGCTCGGCCACCGCGCGGGCTGCTGCTGGGTCGGAGGACGAGAGGCTCCGCTTTTGTGACATCCGCAACGGCGGCTGCTGCCCTGCGGGGTCCTCCCGCGGCTGACGACCTCCAAACTTGGTTCGCGCCCTGCTTCGACAACTGGGCCAGTGGGATGATGCTGCTCGACAGCGGACCAGGCTGACTGACGTGCGGGGCATCCGAGACCGCCGACGCCCCAGGGAACCTGTCGAGCAGCGCCCAAAAGTGCATCGTCACGGCGCTCGTCGACGTTGTTGCCATCACCGAATAGATCAGTCGCGAACGGAGAACAGCGCAGGGTCCCGGCACCTGATTGGTTGTGTCGGCACAGAGACGACGAGCGTGCGCGCTCTTGGCGCTGCCTGTTTAGCTCCATCGAAGCGTCGACTGCGGTTGGACTTTGAGTGGGAAAGTTCTATGTACGCGTCATCATGCGGGCGAGAGCGTATACTTACTGCGCATGTTCAGGACGCCTTACACAGCCCAGTCAACAAAGATGGCAGCACGCAGGGAGCCTCTGAGGTCTGTGTGTGCGGACATCCCGGGGGATAACGCAACCCCGAAAGATGGCCCGCCCCTCTTGTTCGGTGCAATTTTCCTTTGCCGAGAAAACTCGGTAAAAGACGACGCATATTTTGAAGATTGCCTTGTAACCTGACAACAATGGCGCTTTTTTTCTTTGTTTTTCTAACGGAATCGAACATGAACAATGTTCTTTATTTATTACGATATGTACGATCGAGTGAGTACGTCGTCGACCTACTCCATAGGGTCTCGCACTCTCTTTCGGGATATTACGGTATACGCTATGCCGCAGCGTTCATCCGCAGTCTAAATTTACTTAAAAATCTCCGCCGTTTTTTCTTGGTTTCGTTTAGACATGGCGTAGACGCCGGAAGGACTCCAGAAAGCTGCGTGATTAATGTTTTTTTTTTTACGCGGAGCTGTTAAAGGGGCACAGACACATCAAAATCAGTGTTTTTATTATCCGAAAAGATTGAAAACGATGCCGGGACATTACCCTCAAAATTTGAAACTTGGGAATTGAGTATCTGTGAAGTAAAAAAAAAAAAAAAACAATTTCCAAATGCCGAATTCGAAGTTCCCGCGCGATCCGCGCCGGTGCCTCTCCTTGACGTCAAATATTGCGCAGTTCTGAGAGTCCCCTTTCTTTCACAACTCCATGCTGTTGTCACCGCGACCCAAAGCGAGGAGGAAAGGAGCAGCGGGATGTAAGGGCTGCGGCGGACCGAGAAAAAACGGTTTTGTTCCGTGCCAGCGGTGCCGCCTGCCCCGCCTGCCCTGGCGGTATGTTTTCCGAGGGAGGATACAATTCCAGAAAGCGACATCACACTGGACTCCGATTTTTGGTATTTCAAACAGAAGGGCTGTAGTGCGTTCGCAACTGCATTAAAAACGTGCTTTACGATTGCCGTTATTAAATGTTATAGAAATGTCGCCTACAAAGCTTCTAAATTTTATGATTTTTGACGTCACGAATCAAACGAGGTGAGGAGCGGGAGAGCAAAACAACAAAAATAAAAACGCGCGCGCGCGTGGAATTTTTTTTTTTTTTGCGTGCTTATGATTACAACTTGCAGCGTTTTAGACTATAAAAAAAATATGACCCTTGGGGTTTCAGTGCCCCTTTAAGGGCTAGTTTCTCCAGTTTCGTGTCCGTGGACAAATAAATCTCGACACAACCCTCTGGACAGCTACCGCCGTCTATAATCGACGGCGGCAACCAGACAACCGGCTTGCCAATTGTCTGGTTGCCGCCATCGCTTATGGGTGGCGGCATATACACAAACTCATCTCTGTTACGTCACGGCGCGGTGGTGGCGCGTCGGACGCACTTTCGGTCCGGGGCTGTGGGCGGAAGGGCCCATCTGAGACGTATATTCCTGCGTTGTTTTGAAAGGAACCAGACAAAAACCTGCCTTCTTTTCAAAATGCTGCGACTGGGGCTGTACCAAGAGGGTCGAGAAAGGTTGAAGGTCAGTTTTCATGCGCTCGGTTCGTCCGAGAACGTGGATATGTGCCGTGAAAAGGGAAAACCAGACGCCGTCGTACCACAATTGCTTGGGCGGGAAGCATTTTGGGTTGAATTCACGGATACTTCTGGCCATAAGATTTATTTGCTTTGTTCCAAAATGAACGCCGGAAAACCGTCAAGTTGTACAGACCACCTGCGGACTACGTTCAGTGCGTCTTCAAGTTCAAACGGTCGCCCGATCGTTCGAACTGTCGTCTGCTCTTTCAAACGTTTCTGCTTGTCGTCTGCTCGTTTAGAGGACACCGGCCCTTAGACCAAACGTGGGCCCGGTACTTGCGATAAGAAGTAAGTGCAGGCCTCAAAAGACTTAAGCTTGAAGGTTGGTAAGCAGGCTCGACGTAAACAGTATATACAAGGAGATGTTGATCATTGTTACCAGTGGCCATCACCGACTTGTTATGCCTGATTGACTTGGTTAGATTCTGGTTGCGATTTTCAGTATCGACGTCGACCATCTCAGCTACGGTTCACGCTTTTGCAGTCTGAGCGACGTCGCTACTGAAAATTGCGAGCGAAATCTCATGTGAATCAGGCTTTAGCGTACATTCTGCGGCGTCCACGCGAAATGAATCGCCGCATGTCAGATTATTCACGCGAAGTTTTGCGGTGTAACGAGCCTCATTAATTTCGCTGACGCCGCTCAAGTAGTCAGCATCGTTGGGAGGACGTAGAATGAACAATTTCAACGCGAAAAAGAGCGCGGGGACTCACACTGACGCCGACAACATCGCATGTCAATGGTTTGTTTATGGGCGACGGCCAGCTTCTTGCCCACACCCCCGTCGCGCATGCGCGGCGCCGGTGGCGACTGCTAGTGGCGCTCCGGGCGCTCCGGTTTGTTTGTAAACATGAGCTCCGCTGCTCTTCCTTCTTCACCAGAGTAGGGTGCCTTCATGTGCGCTTTGCTTAGGGTGGTGGCATCTCGCCATTTTGTCTCACACGTTTATTTTTATTTTTTGTTCAGAAGCGCGTGAAAGAGCGTGGCCCTGCACGCGTTTGTGGCGTTGACTGTGTTATGGCGACATTTTGTTTTCGTTGATTTTTTTGTATTTTCCCCGTGAGCGCGTGCTGTCGGCATCCGGTACTACAAAGGGTGGCATCACCCTAAACAGAAGGACATTGAGGCACCCTACACCAGAGTGGAAAGGTTGAACATTTTCGCGAAGACCGGAGCAGCGAACAAAAACTACGAGTCAACAAAGATCGACTTACCTTTCTCTCAATTTTTTTCGAATAAACGCTGTATTAGAGCCATAAGTGACAAACTGCGATAAGGAAAGCTAATGTTTTCAAAAAAGAATGGACGTACTTAATGTAACTGTAATTTATAAATTAACAAGAAGCCGAAATTGTATCTTGGAATGACTGTGGCGGGACTTCGCGCACACGTGCAGCTCGCCCCTGTCTCGCCTGCTATTGGCGACGTGAGCGATCAAAAGTGTCGCTGTGGTCGGCCCACCCCAATTGGCCGAATGCTGACTACGTCGTCAGCAAAGGATTTCTTATCGACGGAAATAAGAGGAATGCAAGAACTTCAATTTTGACGGTGTTGGCAGTGTTGCTTTGAGAGCGCTATGATTTCAGGCTTCCACCATGCCTATTACAAACACCATCGAACTTGTTCACAAGGTAATGACGTCACGAAGGGTAACCGAACGAGGGCGCCACCGAAAATGTCCACAGATTCGGACTACAATTTTGATGAAGTCAAGGGATGATAAGTGCTTAATATATGGCCTCAGTTACGGCACTTTTTGGCTGAGATATCGCGAATTTCCCGAGCTCATACTATGCTTGTGGAAGGTTCGAAAGACAGCTTTCGGACTTTCTGAATTTTCCAGAAGCATGGTATGGCAAACAACAGCGCACAAAACAGGGACAACGCCAAAGCAAAAACACAAGAATAAAAAAAAAAAAAAAAGTAAAACGTGGAAAATTAATATTTCGGAGAAGGGTACAAAGCCTAGGGTGCATTTCGGATGCGGCGGAAAATAAAATCCCCATCCGCGAGGGGCTAAAGCGCCCAGCTTGATGTAATGTGGGCTTTTCCTTGATGTTCCATCTGTTGCTTTGCTTTTCTCAAGATTGGAAGCTTGCCAAATTTCATAAAAAAAAAAAAAAGCCTAGACGCATGCTGAGCAAAGGGAAAAACGTTCCCGAAAGGTCAGCTTGGCCTGTTCGATATTTTAATGGATTGCTGACCTTGATCTAACGTGTTGTTCTTTTTTTTCTAGCCGCACTACGCGCATGTTTTCTGCTAGGCTTAGTTCATTCGATTTCGTCTTTAACACCCGCTCCATTTTTTCTCTTCCCTTCCAAACTTCAAAGCAGCATTTGTTTTGTTTACTTACTAATCTTTTATGCTTCACTGAGAGCAACATTAAAAGACATATACTGTTTCGCCTTCCTGAGTTCTTGTTTTTTGTTTGTTATGCTGTAGGATAATGCGTTTGCATCTTGTCTGCGTTGTCCAGTTTCTGTCTGGGACGGTCGACTTTCTTGAAATGGAACAACAGAAGGTGTCTAATGTCGAGAGAGCGTCAGCGAATGCAATCAACCAAATCTCTGTTTCTTTTTTTTTTTGCGCTGCTGTTACGAGAGAGATTAGCATAATTTGCTCGTCTGCAACAACTTTGTAATTTTTTGGTGTCGGTTCATGACAGGACTGAGCAAAACACGAAGCGTAGAAGTCACTTACACTCAAGCACTGTCGTGCAGTGCGCTCGTAGTTGCTTGAATTCACCATAGTTTAAGGGCGTTTTTCTCTTATTTGCATCAGATTGTTGCTGATGTCGTGGCCTTTCGTATTCTCTTTTAAGAGACTGCTCTCGTGACATATGTGTGTCCTGTGTTAACAATCGGATTTCTAAGGGGGGGCATGTTTTGGTTGTTCTTGCAGAAATGCACTCTGCAGTGGAGGAAGTGAAGATCGACCCGTTCGACTTCTTCATCGATGTCGGGAGCCTGGTGTTGGAAGGGAGGGTGCCGGGCCTCTCGAGCAGGGGCTACGGCGAGGGCGTCCACTGCCCGCCGGCCCAGCTCGGTCAGGTGCGGCACCAGTGCAATGTCTCCGTCTTGGAGGTGAGTGGCGCTCCTGGCATGCGTGAATTACCGTCGCCTTTGGGGGAAGTGGTACTTGTAAGGTTCTGCGCGTGCGTGCATCCTCTCTTAGCCTTGCTTCCCGTTGTCGCCATCTTTAAAGGGCACCGTCCCGCACGACCAACGTTGTCAGCATCTATTTTTGCGCGCATTTCGTCTCCTTTGACATACATGCCTTGCACCTACGTCACATCATGACGTGGAACACCGGTATCTACCATGCTGGTGGTTGACTCGACGGCCCTTCGCAGCGAGAGCAATGGTAAACTGCGCCGCGCTCGGCTGTAGCAATCACCCCGTATCCCGATGCTCACCCGATCATTTCGTCGGCATGCCCCGTGAGACAGGGTAGCCGTCAAGTTAGAGAAACTACGAGCGGCAGGAAAAAGATGCGGCCGCGGATTATCGAGTTTGCGGGACGCATTTCATAGCGGCGAACGGCGGCACTTTTCTACCGTTGTTTACGTTCGCTCACGCCTTTGCATCGGCTTTTGCTCGTTCGTGGTGTATATAGCCTTTGACCTTCGTTTCATAAAGCCGTTTTCACGCTTCGAGCGCACCTTCAGGCCTCCCGGCCGAATCCGGGCGAGTGTCGCGCCGCGAGCCCGGCCCGACGGCGATCGGCGGCCCCCATGTGCAAGCTCGCCGAGCCGCCGGGTCATCGGTTTGTGCCTTTCGCGACACGATAACCTTTGCAACGAGCGAAAGTATGCAGGCGAGCCGGTTAGGATTTATCCCTGTCTCAGGGTTAAGATTATGACGGTAACATTGCGTTGTTTACCAGTATTTCGCAAAATCGTAACAATTTGTCTAGAAGCGACTCCTAGAGCCGCTCGTCAAATTATGAAGCGCGCAATTAAGCTTTTTTCTTTTTTTGGCGACACGGCATATCCCTTTGCGTCAAAACTTCGCCGGCGGCATTTCGAAACTTTCTGCTCGTAGCGCAATCGCACCAATGCCAAACAATTCCGCACGTACTGGATAAACGTCATCATCGTAAGCTCAGCACGTTTTTCTAAGTTCACGGTACCTGTGTGGAAAATATGGTGCATGTTAACGCATGTCCGGGTCGTTAGCAGCATCCTGCGCCTTGGTAAGCGCATCCGCGCGATGTGAAGTCAACCACCAGTATGGTGCGGGGCCCCGTCCTTCCCTAGATGTTCCCTAGGGTGACGTCACTTGCAAGGCATGTATACTTTGAGTACCGGTAGTATGGGGCATAAAAAGCAATGAAAACCGACACAAAGACACGATGCCAATGTGTTCTAAAAGACGGGGAGGTATGGCGGGCTGCCCTCCATTTGTAGTTCGCAGACAAACTCCCAGACGGCGCTCGTTAGTCGAAAAATGTAGAAAAAAAGTAGGAAAAGGTCAGTGAGGCTGAAACTGAAAATGAACGCCTGGTTAGGTTCTGGAAACACTGGGCCGGAGTTTGTACGCGTAGGTCTTGTCGTAGCGGGGAGGCTGGATCAGTTGACACCTTTCCCAACAACAGGAAAATGCGTGGCAGCAGCGGCCGCGCGGCCCGTTGGCGAACTGCCGCGCCGCGTCCGCGGAGAGGGTCGATTTTGAGAGGAAAGAGAAGTCGCCGTCTTCTCGCTTCTTTACAACGCGCATCGTTGCTCGCTGATCGGTGTCATGTGATGATGCGAGCGTCGAGTGGCAACTTCCCGGTGCAGTCCTTTGCGGCAGATTTCTTTTTTCGTCGGATGTTTCGCATAATCAATGTACAAAATATTCAGGACCATATGCACGATGCTTTCTCAAACAGCATTTCATCGTGAAGCTCCCATTTAACACTTCCCTATCTAAAAAAGCCCCAGAATGGCATTGACTAATTGCAGTTTTATTTGAAGTATGCAAACCGTATTTGAATACAATGGACAAATGCATTCTCTAATATATCATTAAATACGAAAATACATGCATTTCAAAGTTCTATTTGAAACACTGTCCATTCTTGATTACAGTTTTTAACATTTTACGTATCAGATGTCTTAATTTGCTTGGTTTTCTATTTATGGTCGGTAAGAAATGCAAAGTGCATACGTATCCAAGTTGATGTGTTGACATCTGGTTTGACTTTCAGGATTAAAAAATGAAAGCCGTTCACAACTCCCTGTAACGCCGAATTAGAGCGCAGCTCTTGAGGACGAGGAGGGAAGGGTACTGGGGGGTGGGTCAAGTGACCTGGGGGGGCGGGGGGGGTCACGTAACCTTGTGGGGGTCACGTGACCTTGGGACGTCACGTGACGTCGGGGGGTCACGTGACCTGGGACCACGTGACGATGCCGATGACGTCATCAGTGACGTCACTGATGACGCCATCAGTGATGATGACGATGCGGATGCCGGTGACGTCATCAGTGACGTCACTGATGACGTCATCAGTGATGATGACGATGCGGATGCCAGTGACGTCACTGATGACGTCATCAGTGGCGATGACGTCAACGTGGGGTCACGTGACCTGGGTAACCATCGTGACCCTTGTAAGGGTAACTCTCATAACCCTCGTGACTATCGTGAGGGTAATCTCGTGAAGGTAACCCCTTTGAGGGTAACTACCCCTCGTAACCCTCGTGAGGGTAACCCTCGTGAAGGTAACCCTTTTGAGGGTAACTAACCCTCTTAACCATTGTGAGGGTTACGAGGGTAAGTAACCCTCGTGGCCCTCGTGATCTTTGTGAGGGTAACCCTCATGAGATTAACCCTCGTAACCCTCACGAAGGTTACGATGGTTGCGGTTACGCCGACGCCGCTCAAGCCGGGAACGGGCGCCTAAGAGCTGCGCTCTAAAAAATATTGGCGAAATAGAAACCTTTTTGTCCCTTTACGTGCCAATAGTGGCGTCACGAAGGTCAGCGCGGTACCCGGGGCGGCGGCCCGCCGCGACTCCCCCCCCCCCCCCCCCCCCCCCCCCTCGCTCTCGCGTGGACCGCCGTGACACCCCCCCTGAGCGCTGCACCTGGGGCGGTCCCCCCCCCCCCCCCCCCCTTGTGACTCCACTGTGTGCCATATGTTTTGGTACCACAGATATCTTGTCAACTTTTTTGGGGGGCTGCCACCTATGCATTGATTTCTGAAGCAAAATTATTTCCAATGTTTGGGAATAGACGTGCTTCCTCCCATGCAATAAAAAGAGCGATCATTTAAAGATGTGCTTCCCAAGACCAACAGACGGGCAGAACGTCTATATAGACGCACATCCTAAGTCACAGTCAAAATTGCCGTGCATCTAGAGGCATGCCCCACAGTTAAGGAATTAATGCCTCACTGAAGAGCGAGCTTATGGCTTCCAAATCTTAATCTTTTTATTTCCAAATGTTGTGAGTCATAAAATGTTGTTAGTATAAAAAGATATTGTTTGCTTTGTTTTTTTTTTGTTTTTTTTTTAGTTCTAACTATGTTAATTTTTGCATAAAATCATCCCTGGGAAAATTAGCTTTTCTTTTTTTACTTTTTGTGTCAATATCATGGTTTGTTTTTGTCTCTCTTATGCCGCTGTTGTCCGACTTTGTTTTTATAAACTACTGACGCTCTACTTCAATAGTGTAGCCGTCAATGATTTTTTGTTTTTATTTTTGGTGGGGGAGGGGGGGGGTTCAAGAACCCTTTTTTCTGCCCATGCCACAGCTCTGCTTTGTATATAATGTTTTCCCTGGTTGCTGTTGGAAGAAGGAGGCTGGTCAAGCAACATCAGTCATTTCTGTTTTTCTCTCTCGCCCTCTCTACTAAAGAGAAATAATAAAGTTGGAAGTTGTCGGCATACGGGGAGTTCCAAAAAAGTCAAAGGGAATATAAACAATCTTGTTGTCCGTTTAAGGTGCAGTTCTTTTCCCCTGCTCCCCACATGCCACTTGCCAAAGAGGTGTCTGCCACATTGAGAATACCTTGCCCCTTGTGCCTTGCAGTGCCAGAAATTTGAGGTGGTGCTGAAGCACATGGCCCTGCTGTGGAAGAACAACATCCCAATGTCAGTGGAAGTCCTGCTCGCGCCAGAGTGCCGCCACTGCAGCGCCGCGGACGTGGCAAGTGTGGACATTTCTTCAGCGCCGGACATGTCGCATTTGCTTCTGGAGCAGTGGTTCATCCACATGGTGCCGAGGAGGTAAGAGCGGAAGACGTCTCGCCCGGTCTACGACAAGGAACCTCCACATCGAGGCTGGCTCACACATTTGTGTTTCACTGTGATTGACTGTGTTGCAACCGCTTGCAGTTGCTCCCGATAAAAGAGCGTGCCGAAGCCATCTGTCAAGTAGGCCAGAACACTTCCGACCTACGTATTTTTTTATGCATTACTTTTTTATTATGCACTTCGGATAATTTAGACATTACGAAGGACCATTTCTTGTAGATAGTGTGTGGATTTGATCCTGCAAATGTCGAAAAACCTTCGATCTATAGTAATGTACAGATAAAAGGTGTTCCTGGACTACCCGATAGATAATGCCAAGGTGCCGGCACGTTCTCTCGCCGTAACGCAATCGATCGCAGTCAAACGCTTGTGTGTGGGTGAGCCCTTGGGGGAAAAAGATTAAGATGAAAACATTCTAGGGTCTTTATGCCAGGTTGGGAAAGATGGCTCTTTAAGATGTTCTCGGTCTCGGTTTTATAGTTCAGTCAATTCTGAGCTTTTCGTCAAAACATGCTCGAAAAGAATATTTTGACGGAAAGATAATCTTGGTCCAGGTTTCATACTTAAGATAACCTCGAGCTATTGTCGAGACATTCTCAAAAAGTAATGTCTTGCGAGTTTATGAAGCAGTCGCTATAATAAAAAGTTTTTAAGAAAAATGAGGCAGATACAACATCGGAAAACCCTGTTACGGTATACTATAACAAACTTATACCCATAATGGTGCCCTTAAAGGGGCACTGAAGTCATTTTTTGAAAAAGGTTGTTTTTGATCTTATATTGTTTAAAATGTGTTGGTTCCCACATATACCAAGTCCTATATTACCAAACTGCATATTCACCTCAGGGCAAGAGAAAAACATCTGGACTCTTTTTTTTCCTGCAGACTTCATTATGTGGACCATTAAAAGCCCTACAATACTCAGATTCCAAATAACTTTATTATAACTCGTTTCGAAGAGAGTCTGATAGGTACACATTCGAATAAGACTCCTGTTTTTCTCCGCGGGTGAAGCCATCGCTTAAAACTCGCCGACAAGCGCCATTCGTCAACCACTTCACTTGGAAGAACATTCTTCCCAAAAAGGGCGTGTCACGATCTTTGAACACGCTTTTAATGAGGAAATAAGCTACACACGATTGTAATATTGGGTTTTTTGGTATGCTTAGAGAGACTAGATTACTAGATTGAGTTTTCACCACAAAAGGATGATCTTAGAATCGACTTCAGTGCCCCTTTAATGATAGAGGAAGTGTATATACATTCCCTGGCTTTCTGTCTTTTCAGGGTTCCGGATCCCACCATCGCTCCACGCAGCCTGATTCAGGCCATGCGCTCGTACCTGCATTTTTCTCAAATCAGTGCCTGGTACAGCCTGTCGGGGGGAAGGAACCCCCGCAACATCTACTACCGGTGAGAAGTCTGAACAAAATCACCTGCTCAGCCATGGAACTGATTGGGAGGGGGCTGCTTGACTGGTTCAGGATAATATCTGATGATAACCAAAGCGGTTGTCGCGTCGCAGTATTGTTCTAGCAGTGATCTTATCGGTTGAAACTACTTCTACGAAATTATGGTCGTTTTCCTTAAGGATGTTTTTGAACTAGGAAGTCTTTCTTGAGATACTGTTTTCTTTCTCTGCGGTAGAGGGACGATTTTCTACAAGACTTTAAAAAGGATTGTGCAACAGTTTTCGGACTTCAGCCAATTAATTGCAGGAATTGGTCTGTGTCACCTATACACCCTTCCAAAAATGCTCCTAGACCGCCGCCATGTTGCTGATGCTGACGTGGTTGGTGCGACTTTTGCGCCCCCTGTCAGCTAGAAATTTTTTGCCACTCTCTTGGCTGTGGAAACCCGCTCAGTGCAATTCTCTACCTATGTTTTGCATTTTTGCGTTCAACATTTTCTGGCCCCTCTTGAAAGTTTCCACTTAATTTTTCTGATGCACTCTGCATACCCTTTTTGTGTTATCTTCTACTATGATAAATGGGGCTGGTAAGCGCCTGCCATTGAAGTGTTTTTAGGAAGCGAGCGTGCCGGCCGCATTGCGGCAATCGCCTATTGTTCGCTGCCACCTAGCGGTAACCGGCGCAGAATCACTAGGGAGCAATGGAGACGAACAGCACAGCGGACATGTCCCCGTCGTGATTACAACCGTAATTAAGCCAGTTACGAATTCGGAAAGTTTCTTCAGTAGCCGGTGCCGCCGGCGCAGAATCATCGGGAGGCACAGCGGACAGTGTCCCCGCCGGGGCTTAAGGCTATTACGAATCCACGAAACTTCTTCAGTAGCCAGTGCAGAATCATTGGGGGAGAAGCAATGGCGACGAATAGCCAAACGGACAGTGTTCCCGTGGTGATTACGACGGGGTTTAAGGTGGTTACGTATCCAGAAAACTTCTTCCTTGGTGCCAATATGACGAAAGGAAAACTTCTTCATGCATCTGGCCGCCTGTACGACGTAAAGGAAGTCCGTTTCGACTGACAAGTGGATGACACTGCGCGTCATACCCAACAGACAAAATTAAGCGTGCACGCAAAAAAACGAACAAAAAAAAAAGATTTTCTTGTGGGCGTTGAGTGGCTTGCTCTAATTATGTATGTTTATTACTTTCTAAATCGGATTTACAATAACTGGGCGATTGTTTTCGCGCCGTTTCGCAATTCCCACTACTATCTTCCTGTAGGCTGATGGAAACATCCAAGGGTGCGCTCGGGTGGGCGACCCCATTCTGCTTCTCGGTTCCGGTGAAGTATTTGCTGCATATTTTAGAGTTTGCCGTTGGTGCCCATGCTGTTCCATCGTCGCTAGAATAGAAAAAAAGTTAATTGTATTATTCGTCAACAGCTTAAAGCAAAATGCGAACTGCAAGGTAAGAAACGCCACTTACCTGCCTTGACACACAAGTCGCACCCAGGTCGTGCGGCACTCCGCCTCAAATGGCTTCGAAGGAAAGCCGTAGAACTTCGTGCTGTGCGCGCCCCTGTACGTACTGTTTCAGCCGACCACGCAGCAATTGTGGCTTTCTTGGTGCGGAATTGCCATCTCAGAAATTACAGCGCTAACCAGCTACAATGCACAACCAACGCGGCGACGGGCAGAAGCTCCCCAATGTAACGGACCCGTTTGCCGCTAGGGGCGCCCTGGTCGGGGCCTGAATTAGATGTGCACAGGTGAAGGGAACTGAACGACCCTCGACGCGATATTGCAAACAATGACAAATATTCTCCCCCATCCCAGAGATAATCTGCATAGAGTCCTTCTCAGTCATAGCCACGGTGGTCATAGCCAAAAATAGTTGTTTGGGTTGGAGTCAGTCATGACTGCCCCTTTGCTTGGTGCTGGTGTGAAAAAAGAGCTCTCACCAAAACGTGCCCGAAAACAAAGTCATCTTGGATTTCGTCTGATCGTCAATGGCTGTTGTCGACTGTGACTGTGAGATCTTTCTCAAATAAATTCTTTTCAGATAACGCTGCATCGTGTGATACATACAATACAAATTATCTGAAAGGATAAAACATCACGGAAACAGGACTTCTTTCATTTTGTTTCCGTCCCCGTCCTCATTGTTTTATCCTTTCAAGTATTCGTATCTATTCACCAAGACGCTTGTTTTCAATTATTACATACACTATATTGATTGAATGCTAACACTTGCTAAATTGTATGTCCGTGTCCTGTCCATTGGTAAACACATTATTTGTGAGCATGAAAAATGCATGCCTTTCGGCTATCTTCTACTGTAAATTATTTTCGACAGCTAAGTGCTTTGTTGTTTGACATGCGGCTAACCGAGCAGTGCCGTCAAAACTTTTTGTAAGTAAAAGGCTCGAGATACATTTAAGCACTTCTTATGAGTTGTGAATGCGGAAGCATTCAAGCCGCTTTTCCGCTCTCTTATTTCGTCTGCTGCATACTTTTCGTAGCCGGTCAGCGCGTGTGCTCTCCTGGGCGCGCTGACCTTGGACGCTCCGTGTTAATGGCGCACTGACGGTCACACAGCGCCATGGAATGAGCGGTTGTTGAAACCGACTGCTAAACAAAGCACAAAAAGAATGAAGCTGGTGGGAAGGTATTGCAGTGAGTCTTTGGGAGCCTCAGGATCTAGCAGCCAGTGTTATCCTAAAAAAACTACTATTGCTTTTTGTAATAGGGCAGACGTCAAAAGCTTGGAATAACATGGTTTGTTTGGTTGAACCTGCTACACTACATAGTAAATTCGACTAAACACATATCAATACAGGTCTATCTTAAGGTCCAAAATTTTATGTTTCTTCTGCTCCTAAAATTTTGCTAAAAGAGAGAACAGAATTAAAAGAAGTTCCCTTTCTTATGCTACCAAACAGGATTGGGAAATCTAGATTCTGGATAAAGATCACCACCCATGTAAAGGTTCCAAAAAAGATTCACAAGACTTTGAAATTCATTATTTCTTTATTTTTATTCCTCTGCTCAGGTCACCTAAAGTATATTGCATCTAAACTTAATTGACCAATCAAGCATCGCTCACCTTTTTTTTTAATTTTGTGAATTAGTGGTAGTAGTTTATATCTTTGCTTTCTTAAAGTTTGTCTGTTAATGCTCACCCACCCTCTAGAGGCCATCAGTACATATTGTTGTGCTCCATGTTGCTACAAATCGTCTGCACGAATAAAGTGCAAAATTTGCAGGTTATTATTGGCTCAACAAAAGATTATCCCACCTGGGAAAAGATATGCAACTGCCTTGTTCTGGGATGGCTTTGCTGTGTGGTTTGAAGGGCCCCCACTCCCCTTGGGATGACAATCTGTTTTTACAATGGTGCAGGATCTCGGTGCCGGGGGAAGCTTTCTCCAGCAAATTCCACTGCATCCCCCACCTGCACACCTTTCCCGTGGCCAGCCTGGGTCGCAATGCCTCCATCAAGGTCTCGGTCAAGTCCATTCCCCGTTCCCCGGGTTCCTCGGCCCCCACAGTGCCCTGTGCCAAGCACAGCCTACCTCGTAGTGTGCCCGGGAACCCCGCCACTCTCAACGAGGGCACCACACCGTGCATGCGACGCCGCAACAACACCAGAAAGATTGGCAGTGTGGTCTGCGAGAATGACGACGACGGCACCATCTTGGAGCAGAAAAATGACGCAGAAAGGAGGAGGGCCAAGAAGAAGCACAGCAGGGGTGGTACGGACTCGCCGGACCTCATGCTCGGCGAGAGCTTGCTGGACCCGCCGCAGTCGCTGCAGATGTACCCCAAGAGGTACCAGAGCCCTTCGCGGTGCGGCAGTCCGAGCTTGGAAGTGCCGGAACACCTCATGTTCGGTCCGAGGCCTCAGCTGCAACTTCCGTCGGAACCCAGTTCAGGCAGTTGCTGTTCCTCGACGACGGAAGAGGGTTGCTGCCGCGGAAGACCTCAGCGGCGCCCGGTCATTGAGCGTTTCCTCAAGAAGAGCGGGGAGGTGGTTCAGCAAGGTGAGCTCCCCGGCAGGAGCGAACCCAGCACCAGTTCAAAGCTGCCAAAGGAAGAGGAAAGGGAGAGTGAGGGTCCACTAAGTCAGCAGCCGTCAGCCCAAGTGCAGCAACAGTTGCTTTTCCATAGGAACGACTGTGGCAGCTCCGGTAACGGTGTTGCGGCACCGGAGAAGGCACCCCGTGGGCATCGATGCCGTGCCAACCTGGAAAAGAGCTTCGACGACCTCAACCTGCGCAGCGTAAACCAGGAGTCTTCCAAACACAGACTGCCCAGCTCTGTCGTGCGGGTGTGTGAACAAACGCTCTCGGCGTCGGAGCGTGATCTCAAAAGGACGACACCGACAGGAGTCGTGATGAAAGGTTCAAAGCTTGGCCCCGAAGGAGGCCATCCGGTGATTGTGAACGATGCCAGAGTCAGTAGTGGCAGGGGCGGCCCCACGGAAAAGACCCCGGTGGATGGAAGTCACAAGAAGGCGATAAGCCACAGTAGAACGTGGAATGAGGGTCTTTGTGACTTGAAGTTGAAGGATGGTGTGGTCGGGAAGGGCAGCCAGATCTTCAGCAACCTCATTCAGAAGCACAAAGCAAGACAGGTGGGTGTCAACTGCCTGAGAGTCTAGATGAGTAGGCAGGCTGTCTAAAGCCAGAACGATTGTGACTAGTGGTAAATGTCCTTGGGGCTGGGACATAGCCTGAGCCAAGGGCACTGTGAAAGCAAAGCTTTCACCACCCCGGGTTTGCTCATTGACTGCAATAAATGGAAACAATGTCGTACTAGATGATGGTTCAGACTCAATAGCATTTATTGAAACTGGGTTCCTGAAATGCACCATGACCGTTTAGCGATGGATCATTGGCCCATCCCATCATCAACAACAAAGTCAAGGGAGGGGGGAGAGGAGCAGGGAACGAGCAAAACAATTGGCTATTTTTTGTTTGCACTCATGGAACAACCAAAATGCTAGTATATATGGTGCTGCTGAAATCATATTGAACCTATGAAATAAGGGTTTCTACACCTCACCGTTCTTAAAACATTTTGTAGGTCTTTTTGCAAACCTACAGGCTCTCACAAAACAAAATGCACTACAGTCAAACCTGTTTATAACGAACAGCAGGAAACACTATGATCAGTCCGATATAGCAAGCAGTTTGATATAGCAGAAACCATTTACAGCAAATTTCCACGATGCATTCGTTGTAAGGGAAGAGCTTCTCTCTCTTTCTCATCTCTTCACTTCCACCTTGTAACAATGCACTGGAAAGTTTTTTTTTTTTTTTTTTTGGATGCGTGCAGTTTTTTGTTTTTTTTTAGCTTTTTTTTTTTTAATTGTTTCTTCGGGGGGGCAAACGCATTAGGATGAAAAGTTTTTTTTTTTTTTTTGTGCGTGCATGTAGTGTTTTTTAGCTTTCTCCTCTTCTGAATTGCTTCTCTTCGCTCAATTTTGTTTGCACCTTGAGCTCTAAAAATTTTCTTTCTTTCCTGCTTCTTTTTTGGTGGAAGGGACAGGCTAGAAGATGATTGTTTGTGCGTTTTTGGAAGCCTTCCAGGGGGGAAAAGGTTTGATATAGCCAATGTGTTGTTCGTTATAAACAGTTCTTGTTACATGCATTTTTATTTAAACTTTCCGTGAGTTCGATATCGGCAATAATTTGCAGTACGTGGGTTCGTTCTAGACAGGTTTCACTGTATACTGGCAACTGGACTTTAGTATGCATACAAACTCAATTGAACCATAAGATCTGGCAGTCTTTACTTGTCAGTTCCAATGGCACGTCTTCACTGTAGTATGCACTTGTATTTATCCTGGTATGGGGGGGTGAGGCTAGAAGGGAGTAACCTATTTGCACCTACTTTGTTTGTTTTTTCTTATGCCTTTTTCTAACATCCTTTTGCAAAGAAGACTTTTCTTCATCTTAAGGTTAGCCAGCACTGGCTCTGAGAAAATGGGCTTTCAGTCCTTCATCAACCTTGTCATGTTGAGCATTGAGCACTGTATATTTGGTTGGTAATGAATCGCACTATGCTTCTTTGCTTGTTTGGCAATCGTCCGTTTCCAGTCTTTTGTTCCAATAAATGCCTTTGAGGTGAAACGACGTACAACTCGAGTAGCACACGACATGGTTCCTACGTTGTCGCAGTCATTGAGTCGGCAAGTTCAGTGAGAACTAATTAGGTTGTTATCATGGTGTGGAACAGTTCTGAGCTCGAGCCTTGTCCCAAATCTGTGGATGCTTACCTTGCTAAGTGTAGAGGTGGCAATAAACCTTTGCTGTGTAAGTAAAGGAAATCTAAATAAGCGCCAATTATTTTTTTTTTTTATTTCGCATTTATACATGTTAGGAGGTGACCTTTCAGTGTTTAAATTGCATAGCTTCAGGTCTTTCACTGCCACTTTTCTCGGTCTCTGTTGCTTTTACATCTTTTGATTAGCCATTTTGTCAAAGCAATGTTTTTGCATGGAGAAATTTAATGAGAAAGCATAAATCATATCGGACTTATCTACTGCAGTTATTCTAAGTGTAATTTAGCTGGTTTATATTGTTTCATAGTTCATGTTCATGCAGTATGTAGGCGATCATAGTGAATTGGGTTACATTTATATGAAGTGCCGCAGCTTATGCTAATGACAATTTTAGTTTTGATTTGAGGTCGGTTTGCATTACTGCAGTCAGTTTCCTGTAGACGACTGCAGCCATCTTTCTTGTAATGCGAGATATGGTCCTTTAATGTTGCATTCCCTTCCCCCGCAGAACATCTTTAAATGTTGCTGTCGATGAAGGACGGGCCTTTATGCACCTCCATTCTCCTCTCTAGGCGGGCAGTTAGCATTTTGTACGCTGTCTTAGTAACGTTACCTAAGGGGGCTGCTGCCTTTGTAAGTTACACAGACGTGTCTTTTGTCTACCTCAAAACCAGATGTTCTTATGAATTTTGGAAGCACCATTCTAACTTCATAACTTCCTTCAATCCTCTTGAACAGTCTAAAGGTTGTGGTGATTATTGTTGTGCTTATCTTCATAAATAGTGTTTTCATAATCAAAAGTGGCACGAGAAATTAATAGACCTTTCGTTGAATTAATCAAGCACCAAGGGGCATATGCAAGTGTAATTTAAATGCAATACACATACTTGCATCTGCTACAATAACTTTTAAAAGCAAAAATCTAAAATAAATGGCTTCTTGTGCTTTTTATACAAATAATGTGTGTATGTGCAGCACATCTACCAACATTACTAACATTCTCTTTGGTGCTTACGTAATTTAGAAAGAGGTCTATTCAAAGTCATGTTACTCTGTTCTTTATGCTGCCTAAAAGTGAAAATAACTATTCCTTACCATTGGCCATGCCCTTCAGTAGCTTAGGCCTTTGTGTATTAATATGTGAAAACAAAAGCAGAATGCAGGGAGTGTTATTCAATCGAGTTTTATCTGCAGAAGTTTCACTGCACAGTGTAAGAAACAAAAACATGACTTCAGTTTTTGTTTTATTTTTCTTAACCAGCTGCCAGTTCAGATCTGAGAAAAACTAAAGGTAGCATTTTTTTCTTGGTTGTTTGAAGGATTTTAAAATTTATTTTGTATTGTTAGATGGAATGAGAAATTTCCATTAAAAAAAATTGCCTTTCAAACTTTTTTTTTTGTGAGAATATATTTTACACTGTCAATCTGCTTCAAGGGAAAAGCCTGATGGGGTCTTGTTTATTACACTGTGATGATATTTGATTTATACGATTTCACATCTGAATGTAAAAAAGGCTTTGTATCCATGCCACAATTGAATCATAGTCAGCCATTTAAAAAAAAAAACCTAATCTTGACACACACTAAAAAAACATCTTTGAAAACTTTTTCTGTGTCCTTTTATTTACAAACAACATATTTTTTTAGGCACTATACTCACGACGCGTACATTTATATAGTTACATCAATTCAAAGTTTCATAGCGAGGCTGTTTGTAAGCGTGTTTTGAAAAGCATTTATTTAAAGCAAGGGTGCAGGCAAGCTGGTTGAGTATAGACATTTTAACCCTGGAGAGGGGACAAAAAGGACAACACGACACAGATTTTCAAAGAGATCTGTGTCGTGTTGTCTTTTTTGTCCCCACTTTCCGGGGTTAAAATGTCTTGAAAAGCTTTTCCTGTTTCCTCATTGTGCATTTTTTCGTCAAAACAAAATGTTTTTCCCACAGTATCTTCTGACCTAGAATTTGGATATGAAAACTCTTTTCAGGGTTTAATACCATATTTGCTCGAGTAATAGCCAGACTGTTTATGAGCAATGCCAGTGGCTTTGCTGCTATTTGCTCAGATCACATTTTTACAGAGTTTTATGTTCTCGACCTTGTTATCTGGTGCATTTTTTATGCAGAGCATGATGATGGTTGTGTGTGTGTTCTGCAGGAAAGTAGATGCAAAAGCCTTGTTCATAAGCGGGGTTGTTCGTTTTTGGATAAAACCCGATTTTACCTGATTTTTACACCCCGAACATATTTCAGGATAATCGGGTTAAACCAGATTTCTCCCCGTATTCCAAAACCACATAACCAACCTATTCATTTTTACGCCGCACAGAGTTTGCGGTGCACACGCGCTAGCTACTTTACCTCGGGACAGCAGTGACCTATAGTTCATTTCGCAAGCTGCGTGCAGCACTGTGGACACTACACGACTCCCAACCAACTGCCCAACGAGCTCGCCTAACTCACTGTCACATTCTACGGAGGGCGACTGAGGAAAAGCGACAATAGGCGATGGGTCCTCGGAGGGACATTTCCGTCCACCCGGTGTGCAGGTGAAACCGCCTCGGCATGCCATGTAGCTTCGGCCCTGCTGCACGCAGCTTGTAAAATGCACTATCAATCCCCCTTCGGCTGCTGACGCCCAGCAGGACCTTTCGGGTAGCATGGTCATCTCGCTGGCGTCCAACCTTTCTCACGAACAACGTCTGAGCCAGTCAGTCCCGTAAGCAGATCTAGAGAACTTAAGAGGTTTATTCCCTTGCGAAATATCTGATCGAAGACGACCGTCCCTCGAACAGTCTGGGTTTTTGTTGACACCTGAGGGAAAGGACGATTCCATGGGCGGTGCTTCCGTTGAAGCGACCAACGGCAGTTGGAGCTGGAAAACCCTGATGTCCCCCGATTACCAGCCTGAAACAGACCCCTCATTTTGACGCGTTACCGTTAAAAAACTCGTAAAACGCTCCACAAAAAAAAAAGAAAAGTAATTTTGATTACATTTGTAAATTTAACCCGAAAAAACCCAAATTTCAGAATGTGTCCCCATAAAACCCGATTTCTCCCCGATTATCAGCTTATTGTTACCCCCCAAATTAAAAAAGATATAAAACCCGAAAACGGATAACCCTATTCATAAGTAGTGCGGCTTTACTCGAGCAAATATGGTACCTCATAAAACAGAGTGCAACAAGATTAGTATTTCTGAAATACGTTAACTACAAAATTTGCTAATTGGCAAAGACTTTAATTATTCATTTCTAATTATCATTAATAACTTTTTTTAGAATTATGCTGAAATTATAAGAATGGTATTGTTGCACTCTCCACATTTTGCAGGACATTCTGACATACCAACTTGGCCATATGTTTTGTTGGGGGTATTGTAAAAACATTGGGCGGAAACATTTCTGATAAAGTTGAGATTTTCTTAAACTACCATATAATGATCTCATGTCTTTGCTTAGCAGAAAAAATTAGAGTAGATGTGAGAATGTAATATACATTGGATGAGAACTGACAGGAAAATTTGCAAGACTAGGCTCTCCCTTTGCAGTGTCTGGGGTACACCAAACAACTGACATTCTGCCTATCTATTGCAAAAATTTAATCATAGTTGTTCATAGTTAATAAGTTAATCATAGTAGATACAATCAATTATATTGTCTGCAATATTAGCTACAGTTTATTGCACAATGCTGACCACTTAGTCTATGTTTAGAGTCAAGTTGCAAGCTATACGAACGGAAAGCAATGTTTCTGAATAGTATTATAACGAAAATGTTGGTATAAGTCAGCTGAAAGTGCCACTTTGTTTAAAAAGGAACCGTGGAACGATTTTTTTACACTTTTAATGCTCCTTTATATAGGACATTTAAACTTCTGATGAATAATCATGTGTTTTTTTGTTGTTTTTTTTTTTTGTGCATACACACTTAAGAAAACTGAAAACCATCAAGTGATCATGGGATGTCGATTAAATGCGGCACTTCATTTCTGCCCAGATAGCATGTCACATTTACGCTATAGTGTTTTGGAGGATGAAAAATTGAGCAGCATGTTGCACAAACTACAAAGCGTTGGAGATGACAAGGAGCATGTGTTTTTTTGTTTAGAGAAGCTCTAGTGTTACTTGGATGTGAGAGACATGGTACTGTGGAAAGCCTTTGCACTTCAAAATTTTGCGTTTTGCAGTAGGTAAATTTTTTGGGGGGTCATATTAACATCAGTGATATCAAGGAAATGACAAATATCTGCTTCTTATCTCTTGGGTTTCTAGTTATTATCACATACAAACAAAATCAAATTGCATTTTGATGACTTATTATTAAAAACATTAACTAAAACATTGGCTGCATTCATTATTCAACTGTCATAACTTTTGCAAATATTCGCAAGTGCCTTTCTTCTGCTGTCTATAAGTACACATACTTATATCGGCTTCAACATTTCATGATACATTGTCATTTTTCCGTAGCTTCCACACGGCTGCCCCACACTGCTGAAAGAGCACATGACTTCATCTTTAGTTTCATTCGCACACTCCTTCGTGCAAAGGAGACTTTGAATGAAGTCATGTGCTTGCACAAGAAGCTTGATAGCGCTCACTGTGGAAATTATGCTAGCCTTAACTGTGTGACAAAAAATTCGATGCCAAATGTAAAACTGAATTTTTTATTATTATTCTTTTTATTAAATTTGAGCATGAGACACAAAAATAAATGTGTTTCAAGCAACACCAATCTTGTCTTTGAAGAAAAGGGTTTTGGAGAAATTTATAGCCTTTAAAAGTACACCTGCTATTTCAAGCTAACCAAATGCTACAGCAAACATACACTGCATGGTGGAAACTGGAGGTACCATGTGAAACACTAATCAGATTTCAAAAAAAAAAAAAAAAGATTTATAGACATAAAATCATTTCATGGTTCCTTTAGAAGTTAAAAGGAAGCTGAAGAGCTTTTAAAAATATGAGTTAATGGTCCATTTTTTTCTGTTTGTGCCTGTTGAGTCCAAATATCACAACCGTTTGACCCAAAATGCTGACAAAATGCGAAAAAAAAGCGAAGAAAACAGAAGCGATTGCCGTCGCGGCACGCCATTGGCTAGACACGCGAGACGCGCCACTACGTCATAAAAGGTCCATCTCAATTCTCGATTGCTCCGTCGCTTGCGGAAGTAGTTGGGCGCCGAGGCTTCTGCTCTTGTCAGTCGGGTTCGGCTTCTGATTTTTCAAAATTCTTTGGTGGATCGAAAGGGGAATATGTCCAGAGGACCCTCTACTTGACAAAGTATGCGTTCCAGCCATTGGCAATGCAGAAAAATTGCCTTCCGCGGTAATACAGACAGACACGAGGAATTGCTTGCGCTGACACAACATGGCCTGCTTCATACGTTCTGGAGCATACTGGCTGCTGCTTATTGAAACGTTGACAGTAAACTGAGTGCTATTGACGGGACGCGTGAGGCCGGATTAGCGTTACCCCCCCCAAAATGGCCGTCAGAGGACAAAAATTCTGCACACACCGGCCTTCATGTTTGGCAGCTGCTGGACGCGTGAGCGTGCAGCCTGAATTGAATTGTTCACCAAAGCTGAAGTGTTTTGATGGGATAGTATAATCGGCTTGGAGCGACGGGAGAGCTTCCCCTGTGATAAGACGGGTGATGAGACAGGGTCGTCGTTCTGCCACCGCCATTGTCCTTGCGTACTACGCGAATAGCTGCACAGAAGGTCCATCCTTGTGATAGCGGTACCCTCTGCTGCGTTTTATTTGTTTGCCATCAATTATTAGCAATTACAGCTTTAGAAAAAGCGAAGATGTGTGCCCTGCAGCCCTAAGTTTGATGTTGAATTCGGGAAGGCTTCCTGGGCAGGCCTCTAGATTCACACACACCTGCCAAGATTTGTTGACTGCATTAGACCACCACCAAGCACAAACTTTGCGTGTGCATTTTAATGTGCTGAATTGCCTCCTCGCCTTCAATAATAGTCAACAAGCGTAGGGTTCAGGCAAGCCTTCTTCAGACCCAAACCCATGCGTACATTGTTTTCGTGTGCAGTGTCCGGAACACGTTCTAAACAAAAACGGTGTATACGCTCAATCTCTTGTTTGCATAGCGGGAACCCATCTCTTTAAAATCTCTATGTCGAAGTGAAAAAGGTGGTAAGTGGGAAGAATAACTGCTACAAGTGCTGTTCGTACATGCCGACGGCTACACATGAGTATGGCATCATGCAACAGCGCGAGTCAGTTGCTTCAGCTCCATGAGAATTCCGCAAACCCGTGAACAAACAAGAGAACAATGAACACGTATAGCACGACCGGTCAACGGATAAAAGCAAGCGCTGTGCGGCGGTAGAAGGACGACTGCTTGAAAAGTCAGTAGAGCAGCCTACAAGGGAAGCACGGCCAGCCGCGGCAGGGTCCCCCAGCCGGACCTTTTGTGATGTCGGCTGATGGGCTTCATCCTTTCTCCCCTTTCCCTCTGCTACTTTGAAGGCGCTTTTCCAATTAATCCGCGCATAAAATGACCAAACCAATTTGATATTCGTGATGGCTGAGGTCTTGTTAACCAGGCTCGGGTGTTTTTTCTCATATTTAAAACCTCTTCAGCTTCCCTTTAACAACTTTACATAAAGGTCACGGTGAAGGCATAGTCTACTGTGCTTGTGTCATTTCATGCTACTTTCTAAAGTTCTCCACAATGGTCATTCTGTTCATAGCATGGTAAACACTGATATTTATTCAGTATTCATGGCAAGCTAAATAACACATTCATGTACTGTACTAGCATTATGACAATGCTATCTTGAAATGCCAGTGTCATTAAATATCATTAGGAAGTCTGCTCCAATTCGTAGTCCAGCATCTTGGATGCTTTCTAACGATGGTGCTTCTTTTTAAGTAGTATGCTCGGCAATCACGGTGGAATTCGTTTTAATTTGGGCAGTTCTCGAGGGAATGCTTGCACCTTATTTACAATGTTGGGTTCCAATCGTTCCAGCTGATGTGCAAAGCCAGGAGTCATCCGGTGCCCACAGCGGCAGAGCGCGCTCAGTTCCGCCGCTCTCTGGACAGTGCCACGTCTATGGTCTTCCACCAGAAGACTGGACTGCCCCTCACCTCCAGTCCTGTGAGCATGCTCCCCTGCTAGGCATTTTATTTTTCTTTCAAACACACTTTTTTCCTTGTAGCTGACAAATGTTAAGAAAGATTAGAGGTAGGGTCACTGAGCTTGTGTCCAGGATGCCCACTCACAATAAGCTTTCGGCTTGGCCATTGCATGTCACGCCCATGAAGTGACCAAACTCAATTGGTCACACTCGAAATACTTTTTCCAAGATAAAATGAAGGTACAATGTATGTGGTAGAGTCAAGGTATTGCAGCTTGTGCTGATACTTGTGGCCAGGCGTGTAGCCAGGGAGGGGGGGGGGGGGGGGGGGGTGTTCAGGTGTCAGGACACCCCCTTGAAATTTTACTTTATTATATATATATATATATATATATGCAATCACACACACAATAAAAAAAAGTATATATATATATATATATATATATATTTTTTTTTTTTTTTTATTGTGTATGTGATTGCACCAGTGCTTTGAAACACCTCCTGAAAATATTTTCTGGCTACGCCACTGTTTGTGGCAGTCAATAAATGGCTAGGTCTTATTGAGCCAACTGCATTATGTTGTCTTCCCTAGCAAATAGGAGCATGGAAGCCTAACAAAGTTGATACTTATGATTTACAAACATTGGTTGTAAATGTGAAACTTGGAAGTCAAGTGGAAGCCACAAATGTGAAACTTGGAAGTCAATTTCATATTCATCTTTAATAAAAAGAATGGAAAATCAACTTCAGTTTATCTTGTTCATGTTAATATTATGAAAGGGGTATGCTGTTTACTTCAAAATTTTTATAACTGACAGAGCTCATTAGGTTAAGTGAATGAGTGAGGGAAAACATATCTATTTTATGATGAGAGGATTTGGCCAAGTTATTCTAAAACAAATAGGTGGAGGAGTGCAAAGAAAAAAGCAAAACAGATACAGCAGGTTAAAGAGGTAGGTAGTATGTGAAATGCTGACTTGCAGGTGAATTATTTTCCTGCCAATGGGAGAGAGACAATTACTGAAAATGGTGCTACAAACAGTCAAAAATAACATGTTTCATTATTCTAACCTAAGCACATGCGTACTAAAATAATTGCAGAATGTTATGTTCTTTTCAAACGGCCCAAAAGGTGGCATTCAATACCATCTTTCCCGCCTATTACTGGGTCATTGTGTCCCTCAAAGTTCCTACAAAGGTGGCTAGTTTTCCTACTCGTTCACAGATGCAGAGAAAAAATAGAAAATCTCTCTAGCCCGGCCAAAGATTTTGTAGGTTAAATGGTTTTGGTTAGAGACAACAACACTGACCATTACTGTTATGAGGCTCAGTTAACAAATCATCTTTTATCCCAAAAGATTGGGCAGAGGTAAAAATATTTAGATAAACATAAAAGGGCTGCAGTTCTATTTTACTTTCCTAGCATTGGCATAGGAACCTATTTCGTATCTCAGTACTCAACGTGTGTTCTCATTTTAGTAATGCTTATGATTTTTGCCCAATTTCTCTCGGTGTTGAGCGTGCACCCATCATTATACATGCAATATCTCTGTCCTTTCAGAAGTTTCTTTGCCTTACTTGTTTTGACTTTTAATGCAAATTTTCGGTTCTGGAACCTGCTAAGCACATGGTGTACTAATCAGTGGAGCAATGTTTCTTTCAGGCACCACTTCGAAAGTCCGGTGCAAGTTTTGACTTCGACAGTAGTCTGACTTCCGTGTCTGCGATAAAGAGGTCAGTCAGTTGTTTCACAATTCTGCAGGCTGGATGGGACATAACACTCGGGACACATATAGTATTCAGTGCAATCCACTTATAACGATACCACATATAACAATATACCGCTTATAACGATCAGTTTTTAGAGTTTCTAGACTAGAAATGATCAGTTTCTAGTCCAGATACAACGATAATCAGTTATAATTAATGATTGCATTTTTGGGTCTTCTGATTATTGTTATAAGTGGATTGCACTGTACCAGAGAATAATTGAACATACTCGCTTGAGCAGTTCACAGAACTGTTGTTAAATCTGTACATTTCTCCTTTTTCTATACTAATAATCTATTTTTTATAAAAGCAAATGCATTGCGCATGTTCAGAGGATACATTTAATTTAAACTCTTTTTCATTTATGGCTTGCCCATGCTTAAAGTTTAAATTTTAGCAACTGTTCATCTTATGTCTAATTTCAGTAGAATTCTTCTTCAGCCATCAGTTATCTTACATGCTGGTGCATCTGATTGCAGGGCATTGTTCGAGAAAAATTCTGAAGAGGAGGATCCATCCACGGAAGAAATTTTAAGTTCAAGCGCTCCAGCTTCAACCACTACAAGCAGCCTCATAGTCAACTTCGAGGTATTTTAACCTACTTTTTTTTATTTATCTAAGACTCAATATAGCATCATCTTTTACCTTACGTGCTTGTGGAGTCCTGCCCTAGAACACCTAAGTAAATGTAAAACTAGAAATAGTCGCTGACTGATTTTTCGGACTCCGATAATTCAAACTTGTTTAATATTTCGGACCTAAGGGAGGAGCCGTGACCTATCCAATAGAAATTGTGGATATTCACGATCAATGTTTCGAAGAGCTTGAAGTCTAAACATTCTATTTTTCGGACAAAATTGTTTTGAGCGATCAGCGGGAAACACGACCGAGAAGTTGCCATTTTAGATTCTATGTTGGCTGCACATAGATTGGCTTGGTTTGGTAGCACTACTTGAGTACTGCTAAATCCTACCGCCAGGCGACGTTATGCTACAGCTTTTTTTCTTTAGCTCATCATCATTTTTACCATTTCACTGTGTTCATTCGCCATTTTGCAGTCATGAACTTGCACCTCTCATCTTGTCTCAATGAATCATGTTTTCGGACTTTGCTGGCTTGAAAGTCATCGCCCGATCTGTTTTTCCACCGCCGCAAAGTATCGCTAAGAAGCACAGAAAGTACTCAACCATAATGCTAGAAAAGAAGGCAGCGATTCTCAAGCCAGTAGAAAGTGGCCGAACGCAAGCGGAGGCGTGACCTGATGCAAGGCACCATTGACGGCTTTTTTAAGTCCGCATAGACGTATTAAAGGGAAGTTTTTTTAATCTGCTGATTTTTCAGAAAGCCCTATTTATCTCATATTTTTTTAGGTCCTTAACCAAGTCCGAAAGACTGATCGGCGACTAAGATAGTGTAACCTGAAAGAACTACCCTATTAAATCTTCTGCCAGTGTACAGTTTAATCATTTGAGGACTCAAAACACTACCTCATGCTGTCCATCTTTAGTGCAAACTTTTCTTACAACTTGAAGTATTTGTATGCATTGGCAAGAAAAATGGACAACAAAAGCTAGACGAAGAAGTTTCTCTTCACATGTCACATGTCCAAGAGCTTGCTGCACAGTGCGTGCAACTTCAGATATAGTCTTGTCAAAGCCACAGACCCTATCGAGCTACAAGTTTTACGTCGGTTCGGCAATGCTTAAGAGTTGCCAACCCCGTGTGCTTTCTAGGAGTCTGTGCTCAATGGAAGGCTGGAGCCCGTGAGCACGGTGCAGGGCTTTGTGGCTGAGATTGGGGCCAGTGGCTCCTTCTGCCCGAGGCACATCACCCTTCCCGTGACGGTTTTCTTCTACTCACTCCAAGACATCGACAAAGTGGTGTCCCCCTACCTGGTGAGTTGATGCAGCATTCCTGTAGCACATAGCTTCTCGCACCGGTGTCCTAGGTGCCAAGGGGGTATGTTTCGTGCAACTGAGACTACAAGTAGTTTCTTTTGGACTATGAAGGCTCTTTAATGGGATATACACTTCACGCAAAGGAATGGGTTTATGTAATTATGATAACTCCCAACATCACTCGTAACTTTTTGTAGGACTCAAACTTTTTACGTTGGTGTAATTTCACGGGTTGGGCCTCTTTCCCGCGATTAAAGGCGAAGTGAGGATCACGTACAAATAGTAGCTTTCGAGTTTGTTGTCATCTGCCAACCGTAATTTGAAAGGTTGCGCAAAGGAACGTCTTCTCTTCGCTTCTTTCAGGGCCACATCAACCTGGGGATGAAGGGGTACCATGTCCCAAAGACGGGAACAATTCAGCTGGTAAGTGTACGGTTACTTTGATGACGTAAAAGAAAAAAAAAAATCTTATATTAAGTTGCGGCTTGTGGATAAACCCTGCAACCCTCACTGGGGTCTTTTTGCACTCTACGGCTCGTGCCAGGACGAGAGATTTGTTTCTACACTCCCTTTCACTTTAAGTCCAACCGTAGCTGACACAACGATCCAACGGAGACAATCAAGTGGAGCCAAAAGTGTGTCATCACAGCACTCGTTTCTCTCCGTAAGTTTGCCATCGTCGGCTAAATCAATCTCGTGCAGAAAACGCGCGGGATCGCGGCACATTCACTGTGCACGATTGGTTTAGTTGGTGATAGCTAATGCACAAAGGCAAGGAACACCGCAACGTTGCACTTTCGGCGCCGCTTTATCGGCTCCGTCGGGTTGTGGTCTGTAGATTTAAAGTGAAACGAAGTGTTGCGCACTCGCTTTGTCCTTGGTGGCAGAGGTTATACGATGCTTCCAGATATTTACCAAAAGAAGTGGCATTTATTGCTAAAAGTTTGCGCCTAAGTCACTTTGCGGTGCTGTCGCTTGCAGACGCTGTTCAATCCACACCGGACGGTGGTGAAGATGTTTGTTGTCCGCTACGACCTGTCGGATATGCCTCCCAGCTGCCAGACTTTCATACGACAGCGAACGCTCTACATGCCCACGGACGGCTCCGAGACGGACGCTGAGGCCAGTCGCTGGCTCCGCTACTTGATTCATCTCAGGTGTGTGATCTGTCCAGGGACTTGATTGCAGTTTTCCGAGCGCAGGGGGTGGAGCTGCTATCGGGGATACAGCCCTTTGATGCAGCAGCATGGAGGACAGCGGAAGCTTGTTTTTCCATTTGCCTCGGAGCCTTGGTACATGATACCTTTCTTCTATTATACAAAGAGTTTCAGCGAAGGCTTTTGAAAAACTGAAATAAGGTAGTTGACATAAAAAAAAAAAACTATCTGGAAACAGACGGCCAGCCACGGCAAACGTCAGTAATTGCAAAAAACAGAATAATTAGGTAAATAATGAACTAAAATTTACTAATTAGCTTTTTAGTTAGCTAAATTAAAGATATGGTTTCAATAAGAAACTTCCTAAGCATCGTCGAAAACCACTAAATTAACTAATTTTAGGAATACAGAACACAGAGGCAGCATTTTAGGGTGTTCCAAAAAAACATTTGATTTGGACACATTTTTAGGTGGCCGAGATGCATAAGGGTACATGTGCTAAATGCTTCCCTCAATCCTTTGAGAAAGGCTAGGCGGTGGCTTAGCGCCTCAGCCACTGGGGAACAGTGGCTGGTGCAAAGATGCGCTCTGATAAGAAACTGAAACCTAAAATTGCGTCCAAATTGATAGTGTTTTTTTAACACCAAAAAATGCTGCCCCTGCCTTATTTCTTCTTAAAATGAATAGATTGAGTGGTTTTTGATGATGAAACAAGCTCTCATTGGAACCATGTTTATTTTCACTAATCAAGCAGTTAATTGGTAAGTTTTATTTAATTGTTTTTTTCTAATTAGTATATGTTTTTACAATTCTTGACGTCTGCTGTGACTGGCAGTTTATTCCCGGAAACAGTTTCTTTTTTTCACAACCACCCTTTTTTTGTGATTTTTGGAGGCCTTCACAGAACACCCCATACTTTTAGAAGTTTCAAAAAGTTGTTACTAAAGGCCAAGTTGGAAGCATTAAACAGAACAAATGTACTTTTTATCGAAGCTACCAGATGGAAATATGATAGGGTTTTGAAAAATTTCTTGCAAATATCAGGAGTGTCGAAACTTCCACCACTGTACTACATCAAGAAGCCTGGCTCATGCAACAATCCAGACCCAAGTCAACCTAAGGAAGCAATATCACAGTGCGCATCAAATGAATGCTATGTCAAGCCTAATGTACACAAACCAAAAGTTGTGAAACATATTTACTTGGAAGTAGTTTTAGGACCACCGAAACCTTTGAAAAAGAGCATTTAGGCCTTCCGACACTCCAGTTAAATCAAACCTAGTGGTATTTCTGCACCTTAAAGGGGCACTGACACATCAGAATCATATTTTCGTTTATTATCAGAAGCGATTGAAAACGATGCCGGAACATTACCCTCAAAGTTCGAAACTTGTGAATTCATATATGTGAAGTAAAAAAACAATTTCCCAATGCCGATTTTGAAGTTCCCGCGCGATCCGCGCCATTGCAGTGACATCAAATTTTGCGGTCTCCTGAGAGTCGACCTTCTTTCGGACCTCCGCTCTACGCTACAAAGCAACGCGCCGTTGCCACCGCGACCAGAAGTGAGGAGGGAGAGAAGGGCGCCGGGCGGACCGGGAAAAAACCGGTTTCTTTCTCCGACTCTCCGATTATCTTCTGCTCGAGCGCCGCCAAGTTTTCCGAGGGAGGATACAAATCCAGGAAGCGACATCACACCGAACTCTGCTTTTTGCTATTTCAAAAAGAGGGGCCGTAGTGCATTCACAATTGCGTTAAAAAACATGTTTTTGCGATTGCCGTTATTAAATGTTATAGAAATGTCGCCTACAAAGCTTCTAAATTTCCTGATTTTTGACGTCATCGATCAATAGAAGCAAGGAGGTGAGCAGCAGGGGACGAAAACGCCAAAAATAAAAAAAAGCGCGCGCGGAAAAAAAATTTTTTTTGTGTGTGTCTATGATTGCAAGTTGCATCATTTTAGACAATAAAAAAAAATACGACCTTTGGGGTATCAGTGCCCCTTTAAGAAACATGGGTGCTCCAAACTGCGTGTCTAGGGACGAAAGGGATTCCCAGTGTGCCCTTAAAGGGATACTTCAACGAAATTTGAAAAATTCCCGTCGTGTTCAAAAATAGGTTGAATATGATCTTCAATATCCGTAAATGACAATCGCACGTTTGTATTTTGATCCTGGTGGCTGTATTTTTCGTTATAAACGGCCCACTCTGGCAAGCGCTCGGAGAAGGCCCAGCTTAGAGCACGTGACATCCAACGCAATCGTGACGTAGGTCGTCTCAAGACGAGCAAAGCTACGGCGAGGCTGACGTCGAAAGGATGGCCTAGTCGTTCCAGCCACCGAAGCGGCTGCTTTTGTACGAATTTTGAGTGACGGGTTAATCTTCTATAATCTTCTAGGGGGACAATAGCGACTTCTGCGACACACAAAAGGCATTCTCGGGAAGAGGGGAGTTCCTCCTGCCCCTCTTCTCTCGTCGTGGCCGGAGACGAGACAACCTCCGTCACTAGCTGTCGAGGTTCCTAGACGAGCATTACAAACGAGGCGTTAGCGACATCCACCAGGTGCTCTTTGCTAATCGTTTAATTCGTTTTAAAATTCCTTTTCGAGACTTTTTTAAGAAGATATTGGTATGTTCAATGTGATACTGCTCTTTTGAACACATATAGACCAAAAAATGAGCGCCGAAATTTCGTTGTAGTATCCCTTTAAAGGGGCCCTGCAATCATATTTTAGCGTCTACCTTTTTTGCGGTTTCCACGTCTCTTGCGGTTGGGGCAAGCCAGCGAGCACGGAGAGAGTAACTTAATATCAGTGCGTCATATTTTAACCGGACGACGCGGAAACCTCCTCCACCGACGAGGGCGACCCGCGGTACCTAAAGCGCGCAAAATGTGACGCCTTTGGTCCTGGGCTTGTCACTGGTGAAAGCCGCTAAGAGCTTTTTTTTTAGTCGAGATACAAAATAGAAGTGTCGCGAACCGTTTCAGTTATGTATGAAAGTAGTTTTTGTTCACTATTTTAGATCAGAAGAGAAACAAATGCAGTTTAGAAAGTACGGAAACGAGAAATGACCCGTCGACATACCCGCCACCAAGCGGCGGAAAAAAACGGCGCATACTAGAAAAGGCTAGTGGGATGAGGCTACGACAAACGAGGAGAGTAGAAAGGTCCCGGATGTACGCGGCGGCGCTGTGGTCGTATACCGGCTCAAGAATCCGACCGGTTCCGAGCGTTCCGAAGGCCTTGGGCGCGGGCCCTGTTGGCGATTTGGCCATTTGGCGGTGCGTCAGCGCGAAGTGGCTCCCGTTCTGAACTGATCTTTACCCCGTGTTTGCTGTCGTTTGTGGCCAATGAAGTGTCATGCCGAATTAGTGTTTAGTCGCGCTGCAAATGCAATACGAGCTGCCCTGGCCGCCCGCTTCATACAGCTTATCCAACACGTGCTTTAGTGGCGCCCTCTCGAGCCGTCGACACGGAGTGCGGCAGCCGTATGCGCTCAGTGAGCTCACTACTCCTCCTCTCGTTCAAGGCCGCTCAAGGCAGGACCTACGACGTCATGAAGGAGGTTATTTTTTGCTTGTTTTTGTAATTCTAATTTGCCTATAACTCTTAAAATAAAGCGAAATTTGAGAAAACAAAAGTTGGATTAAGTTACTACGTTCAGTGCGCTCAGGTTCGGTGCAAATTAAAAATTAGTCAAAAAGTTGTTGCAGGGCCTCTTTAAAGGGATACTTCAACGAAATTCGAAATATTCCCGTCGTGTTCAAAAATAGGTTGAATATGATCCACAATATCCGTAAATGACAATCGCACGTTTGTATTTTGATCCTGGTGGCTGTATTTTTCGTTATAAACGGCCCACTCTGGCAAGCGCTCGGAGAAGGTCCAGCTTAGAGCACGCGACATCCAACGCAATCGTGACGTAGGTCGTCTAAAGACGAGCAAAGCTACGGCGAGGCTGACGTCGAGAGGATGGCCTAGTCGTTCCAGCCACCGAAGCGGCTGCTTTTGTAAGAATTTTGAGTGACGGGTTAATCTTTTATAATCTTCTAGGGGGACAATAGCGACTTCTGCGACACACAAAAGGGATTCTCGGGAAGAGGGGAGTTCCTCCTTCCCCCCTTCTCTCGTCGGGGCCGGAGACGAGACAACCTCCGTCACTAGCTGTCAAGGTTCCTAGACGAGCACTACAAACGAGACGTTAGCGACATCCACCAGGTGCTCTTCGCTAATCGTTTAATTCGTTTTAAAATTCCCTTTCGAGACTTTTTTAACAAGATATTGGTATGTTCCATGTGATACTGCTCTTTTGAACACATATAGACCAAAAAATGAGCGCCGAAATTTTGTTGTAGTATCCCTTTAAGGGTTCCCACAACTGTCCTCTGCCGTTGAGTAAAATGTTTTCCAGATTTAGTGCTATCTTGGCAGATCTGAGCCATACATTCATGCATAACTATGAGCCAAGCACGCCATACCAAGATATAGCTCCCCCCTTCTTTCAGTCAAACAAGATAGGAGTTCCCAATGTCAAAAAGTTCAAGAACTCTTGCTTTAGAAGGCGCAGGTTATACAAGCATACTATGTCTATGCATGAAACAGCAACATCGGAACTATATGTTTAGTTTCACTAATTAAACGTTTATTAGAAAGTTTTAGGTAATTGCTTATTTAATTAGTATGCTTTTTGCAGTTCTTGACGTCTACCATGGCTGGCAATTCCCGGAAACAGTTTCTTTTTCTCCCAACCACCCTATTTTTAGGAATTTTTGAAAGCCTTTGCTAAAACACCCGGTACTTCTAGCAGTTTCGAGGAAGTTCTTCTAAAGGCCAAGTTAGAAGCATTAAACAGAACAAATGTTCTGTTTAATGCATCTACGCATTGCATATGCTCGGTCGTGCCCACTCCTTTCAAATCCAAGTGTCAGATGAGTTGTGGCAGAGATGCACACCTACTGCAGCGCATGGTACTTGAGCAGTTCTTTCCACTCCGCGAATGCGCGCAGGTTTGCAAGCTCCAAGTCCGGGCGCATCTACCTGCACACGGACGTGCGCATCATTGTGTTCCGGAAGAGCGACCTGGACGCGGCTACCATCCACGGGGACCACCCGTACGAGCTGCGCTCCTTCACCCAGTGTCCCGTCAACCCAAAGTTCTCCCCGTGCAAGTGAACCTTCTTGTCAGGCCAGGAGATTCCCGGTCCCATTTATTTTTTGACTGATCTCTTTTGGGCTCCAGAGGACCAGGGGCATCCCTGGGTAGGATATTCTTCTCCGTCGCCCGTTGTTATTAAAGATTTGTTCACATATGTTGTTAACTTATTGCATAGAATGCTCTAATAAACGCACTAGGAACCATGTAGAAAAACTTGTCCGTGTGTTTCTACTGAATGCTGCGTCGCCTTGGTGCTGCCCCGACGGACGGCATATGATGGAAGAGCATGTCTACTTCCCGCCCTCCGGCCAGCTCCGAGGTAATGTGCAAGCCTACAAAATTGTAGCAAGCGATCTCCGGCGTTCGACTCTCAAACAACGACCCCCGAACATCGTTGAAGACCATCCTGGTCGACGGTTTCGTCATGCATAGCAGAGAATTGTTGAGATGTGACATGCAGTGGTATCGGGATACATTTTGGAAGGGAAGTACTTATACTATGTTTGGATGACCGATTTGGAAGGGAGAGGGGGCGGGCCATCTTAGAAGTGCTTTTTTCAATTCTTTCAAATGGAAATGCAATGGGAAAGAGCTACCAACTGATAGAGAAATTTAGGCTCTAGAGATTGGTTGTAACTCCTAAACTGTGATGGAGCTTACTACCATGTGCAGAATACTAAGTTGCATGGTCCCTTCGTTTATTGGCCCATTATTATGCAAAAAACACGGCATTTACTCAAATACTTTTAATATCCTGCAATTTCAAACGTGGATTCTGGTTTTTGAATATTTCGGTGAGGTAAGTTTTGATGTTCTTCTTCAAATGACATGCACAAGTTACTCCAGCTTGTACAAATTTGTTGAGAATAACCACCGTTTTTTTTTCTTTTCTTTTGAAATTTGAAACGTACTACTCTTTTCTTCTTTTTGTGGGTATTCAACGAATTTCGGCAGATGAAAGTTAATTCACAACCATAAGCCTGACAGTGTAGGCCTTTCTTCGTGCAAAAAATTGGCTCGCATACAAAAAAAAAAAAAAAAAAAAGAGCATTAGTTTTTAACAAGTTTTTTGCCCCTGCCCCCCTGAATGTAATGGTGCGTAGCAGGGTAGCAGTGGCGTAACCAGGCATTCTTCTCAGGTAGGGGGGAGGGGCGGCGGGGCGGCGGCGGCGGTCAAGGTGGCTGGGATGTCCATGACTGGGTGTGTGGAAACGTGTGCGTTTGTGTGTGTGGGGGGAGCTGAAGCCCCATAAGCTTTTCCCTGGCTACGCCACTGGTGCGTATAGTCCAAAACATAACTAACATGATCTGCTAATAGAGAGTTTTAATATATCGTTTCGATACCCCCGTTCACGATATGATGTATGCACATCGGCGGCTGAGTATCCGGTATCGTTATTGGAGTCATCGGAACGACCTACTAAAACACTTTAAAATGTTCCAGATGAAAGGATTACTGATACTGCTTCCGCAGCCGTAGCTGCCGTTTGATCTGGTCGCTTCGCTTCATCGGACTGTAGTCCTAGACAGAGCAGCGATCTTGTCACCAACGCACTGTGTGGTTTCATTGTAGCTTTATTTTCAGTGACTCAGTATCCTGATGAGCCGTGGCGAGAGTGCTGGCGGTCATTCTGAAAACGTCAACACCGTAAAGACGCTTTTCTGCAGGCCTCGGTGCGTGCGCGGAAGACAGCTTTACGGCTGTGTAACTTAACACGAGGTAAACATTTGGCCAGTTGCGATTTCGATGAACGCCCACCTGGTTAGTCATGCTTGAAACCCTGAATTTAAAACAGCCTGATATTTCCTTATAAAATTGTTCACGTAATCGGCTGCATTCGGTTTGAATTTCGATTTCTCCCCGAATGCACGGCTTCCTACAAAGGATTCCGTGTTTTCGAGCTTCGTTTTTCTTCGTATTTGGCGAATTCGGGTTTTGTTTGTTCTCGCAGATTTTGCGCTTTTCGGTATCAACTTTTGGTGTCGAATATACAGTTACGGTGACCCGAATAGATGGAAAACGTCCCCGCACCGATAAGAGAAGAAAACAAAATGCAATATACGTAATTTAAATTTTTTTTTTTTTTGTGAAGCATGGGTTTTTCTTGCATAAAAAACAACTTCAAATAGTTTTTTTCTTTTAACTTTGATTTCGCTAAAATTGGTATGGGGGCTAAATTTCGGTGCTCATCTGTATTTACCGAAGACATTGAACCCTATTCATAATTGATGAGCTTGACGAGCGTGTTGGGTTAATACTCAATACGAAGAAAGCAAAACTCAAACAGAGGAGGAGAGATAGACATGCGCAAGCTTTCAGTTCACGGCATTTATTCGAAGCCAGCAGAGCTCCGCTTGTACGTGTCTTGCTCTGTCCCCTCTTGCTGTGTTGCTTTCTTCGTATTGACTATTGAGTGCCTATTCATATAACTACTTCATTTTTTTTTATTTAAAAGAAATTGTTTCCTCTGCGTTCACGAGGCTTGCAAATATACCTGTACTCGAAATCACGGCACTCGCAACGAGCTAAGAGATTCGCAAGTTTTACAGTCAAAAACGCTTTTTAGGGCACTTAAAAAAAAAAAAAAAAAAGATTACTTTTTACGTTTATTTTTTTTTCTGATTAAGTATCGCCCCCGATGTTTATTCAATTATATATTAAAACAGACACAATTTTATTACCGGTGCAAATAATCAAATGTATTTTAGGAACGTCCTGTGTGACATTTTGCGTTCCCCAGTGAGCTATCGAGAATTGAAGGAGTCTGAACCGAAATTTTTATCGGCTCGGTTTGGGTTCACGGCTTTCGGTTCAGTTCCGAAAAGCAAAAATAACGGTACAAACCGGTTCGAACCGATTCGAACCGCTAAATTGAGAATATATTTTCCGCGTTGTTTTTTTATTATTATTTATTTGGAAATACTACTGGCTCCACTCAAGGAGCCATGGTAGGAGTGGGTACAAACATGTAAAGAAGGTGCAGATTTAGAAATGAAAACTCAATTAAGTATAAATTCAAGAGCAGATACAAAATTAGCAACAGCTGTGTTGACGACGACACCATTTGGTAGCTCGTTCCATTCTTAAATTGCCCGAGGGAAAAAAAGAATATCTAAAACAGTCGTTTTTGAACCTGTACTGTTTTAACGCTCTTGTGTGGTTTAGACGTGAAGACCCGGTCGATAATGGTTGTATATAGTTAGAGCTTTGAACGTGAAAAATGCCGTTAAGGATATTGAACAGCAATTTTAATCTATAAATTTTTGCTCTCATTTGCAACGGTTGAAGCTTCGCTCTAATAACTAATTCAGTGGGCGATGTTTCTCTGCGATAAAATATAAACCGAGCAGCTAACTTTTGAGTACTTTCAAGTTTGTTAATACCGTTTTGTGTGAGAGGGCACCACACCGAACTAGCATATTCTAGCACAGGCCAAATAAAACTTTTATAAGCAATAATTTTAGTGTCAAAATCTACAAATTTTAATTTCCTACGACACGCAAACGCAGTGCCCCTCGCTTTGTTTACCTTTAATTCTAAGTGCTGGTTCCAGTTTAGTTTATTGTTAAAAAGAAGTCCTAAATACTTGTACTGCCCGACCCGCTCTACTGGTTCTCCATCAAACAACTAAATTAAACTAGCTTTTTTTTTTTTTTTTTTTTTTTTTTTTTTTTTACAGGAGTTTGTTGTGACGGCTGTTTTCACATAATTTAGCTTCATTTGCCATTTTTTAGTCCAACGCAGTATCTCATTCAAAGCTTCCTGAAGTGTAAAATTGTCGGTATGACTTTTTTTATTGTTTTATATATAATACAGTCGTCAGCGAACAATCTGAGTGGGTCATCAATATTGGTTGGAATGTCATTAATGTAAATCAAAAATAAAAGTGGCCCAAGCACGGAGCCCTGGGGCACTCCTGAAGTAACGGCCAGTTTGTCCGAATCAACTTTGTTATAATGAACACATTGGCTTCTGTCTGATAAATACGCGGTTATCCAATTTATAATTTGGGAATTTTTCAGTATATTGGGAAGTTTTGCCAGCAGCTTTAGATGAGACACCGTGTCAAACTTTCACGGCGGCAAGAGGCACTATTTCCGCCGAGTAACTATATATATATATATATATATATATATATATATATATATATATATATATATATATATATATATGTTTTTTTTTGTTCACGTAATCCACTTTTGTTTTTAGATACGAAAAATAAGACATTGGGCTATTTAATTTTAAAACAGTAAAAAAATATATTAACATACAAATAATAAACAACTTCCACTTATATTTTACCTGAATCGAAAGGTTGTCACGAAGTGAGGTAGGTGGCGCTTAAAATACCGCTGATTGGTAGAACTTGGCGTTGCAGAATTAGAAATTTAGTCGTAGTTGTGCTCTTGAACTAAATTACAGGGCATAAAATCATGGAATGGGCACGTCGTCGCCATATATATCGTGAATATAGTTTACAAAATAGGTATCACAATATATATAAGGATAAGACAACTGAGCTAAAAGCAATGACATTTTCAAGATGTCTCGAAAATTTTAGGACAAGCCCTTTAAAGGGGTTATGACACGCCAAAAATAAAATATTACATAACTATACTGCTAGGACCCATTGTATGTTCCTATAATCCTGCTAAATTTGTTTTGAAAAAGGCGCGATAGTTTCGTGGATAAATCGATTTATATGCGGGCCCCTCGGAGGGGCAGATCCGGGCGGACCTGGAGGCTGATGACGTAGCCAGCCTCCAGCGTGGTGTCTAATTGCACGCACTCACAGACTTGGCTCTCTTGGCGTATCGAGCTTCAGCTTCCTCGTTTACCTTCCACGTTTCCAGCATCCGGTCTGTGACGATTACGTCTACGGCATCGATCGCCTTGTCGAAGTGTTCGACATTGATCGCAGCAGCGATGAGAGTGATTGTAATCAAGAGATGTTGGAAGCTGTTCATTTTGACTGCGACCCGCTGGCGACGAGTTCCAGCGACGACGAGTTCGCCGTGGTCACCGTTGTCCGGGAATGTCTCGCAGGCGCATGCAGGCTGGAAGGTCAACCGGCCGGGGGGCGAGAGCGAGAATAGCTTTCAGTTTACCGAGCTGTTTGAGCGGTTTTGTTCGTACCGCGACGAGAAGAGCTCGGGCGATCATGGGGGCGCCTAGAATGAGAGAGTGTTCATGGTCACGTGGTTTATGGACA